ATTGCAGTCAGACTGGGATTCGAACATAGGACCGTCCAAGATATAGAAGGATGCTTGAACAATTAAACTATGTGGTTGTTGACGATCAACCCAGTCTAGTTCTGCTACAAATGTAAACAACCATAGACAACCATAATCATAAGTAACTACTCAAAGGAACTTGACTAATTAGATGTGAATACCTGTAGGCCACTTGGCTAATTAGATGTGAATACCTGTAGGCCACTTGGCTAATTAGATGTGAATACCTGTAGGCCACTTGGCTAATTAGATGTGAATACCTGTAGGCCACTTGGCTAATTAGATGTGAATACCTGTAGGCCACTTGGCTAATTAGATGTGAATACCTGTAGGCCACTTGGCTAATTAGATGTGAATACCTGTAGGCCACTTGGCTAATTAGATGTGAATACCTGTAGGCCACTTGGCTAATTAGATGTGAATACCTGTAGGCCACTTGGCTAATTAGATGTGAATACCTGTAGGCCACTTGGCTAATTAGATGTGAATACCTGTAGGCCACTTGGCTAATTAGATGTGAATACCTGTAGGCCACTTGGCTAATTAGATGTGAATACCTGTAGGCCACTTGGCTAATTAGATGTATATACTATAGGTAGCTGAATAGGCTACTCACAGCTAAAGGACGATATCCAGGCTGGACATTTGGCAAGCTAGGTATTTATGCCTACAGCTTTAACATTTATAAACCTATAGAACTATATATACTTTAGATAACAAGGTTTAGCTGGGTGTTAATTCCTATAGCAACTTACCTGGCTATCTACCGAGTTGTAGAAATTCCTAAAAGTTGACTGGTTAAAATAATGGGCAAATTTTCTGGTTTGGTGTAAATATCTTGCACAGCTTGCTTTAAAGCTAGGTGTTAAAGTATAAATACCCCCAATCAACTTTGATACATAGGTAAATATCCATAGGTAACATGGCTAACTATAGTGACATATAGTATTAAAGTATTAAAGGCTTGAACACATTTTTTTAATGTGCTAAAGATTTTTGCTGCAGCATGTATTAAATTCAATGTAAGGTAGATTGGTGAAAACTTATTTATCATTCCTTTGTCTCTGTGTTGTGTTTTAAGCAGAGCTGTCCTTGTCTACTGTATCATATGGTGTAATGATTATATGCAGGAGAGAATAACACATGTGAATGTCTAATGACATCCAGGCCAGAATATGTGTGTATTTTATGACTCACACAGCAATTTGTGAGATGATTAATTATGCCATTTCATTTGTTATGAGGAAATGGGAAAAAAGCATTGCTGATGCATCAGGTAATAAAGCATTGTGGAGAAAAAGTAATTACGATGATGTGGTCATTCTGTTTCAGCTTTCTCTCCTCCACTTCCTTTGCTTTCCTGCTATCTGTCTTCCGTCCCTTTGCCTCTTTTCCCCTTCCCTCCATCAGACTACCAGAGATGGACCATCACTCCTTCACTTCTTCTATTCCTCACCCTGTCACCCTTCACTTCTATTCCTCACCCTGTCACCCTTCACTTCTATTCCTCACCCTGTCACCCTTCACTTCTATTCCTCACCCTGTCACCCTTCACTTCTATTCCTCACCCTGTCACCCTTCACTTCTATTCCTCACCCTGTCACCCTTCACTTCTATTCCTCACCCTGTCACCCTTCACTTCTATTCCTCACCCTGTCACCCTTCACTTCTATTCCTCACCCTGTCACCCTTCACTTCTTTTTCCTCACCCTGTCATCCTTCACAAGATGTATATCAGTTCTACACTGGTCTTGTCCCATAGGAGTTGTCATTCGGCTACAATCTCTGCTTCCTTTCCAAGAAGATGTTAGTGTTTTTCTGATACTCTTTCCTCTCCATTCCATTCTCCCACCCTGGGAATAATGAGTGCCATTTGTGTTCTGTTCAATCCCTTCCTTCCTCTCCACTCCCTATATTCCCTTACTCTACCCCCTCCTGTCCACTCCCTTTATTCCCTTACTCTACCCCTTCCTCTCCACTCCCTATATTCCCTTACTCTACCCCCTCCTGTCAACTTCCTTTATTCCCTTACTCTACCCCTTCCTCTCCACTCCCTATATTCCCTTACTCTACCCCCTCCTCTCCACTCCCTATATTCCCTTACTATACCCCCTCTTCTCCACTCCCTATATTCCCTTACTCTACCCCCTCCTCTCCATTTCCTTTATTCCCTTACTCTATCCCCTCCTCTCCACACCCTTTATTCCCTTACTCTACCCCTTCCTCTCCACTCCCTATATTCCCTTACTCTACCCCCTCCTCTCCACTCCCTATATTCCCTTACTATACCCCCTCTTCTCCACTCCCTATATTCCCTTACTCTGCCCCCTCCTCTCCATTTCCTTTATTCCCTTACTCTACCCCCTCTTCTCCACTCCCTTTATTCCCTTACTCTACCCCCTCGTCTCCACTCCCTATATTCCCTTACTCTTTCCCCTCCTCTCCACACCCTTTATTCTCTTATTCTACCCCCTCCTCTCCACTCCCTTTATTCCCTTACTCTACCCCCTCTTCTCCACTCCCTTTATTCCCTTACTCTACCCCCTCCTTTCCACTCCCTTTATTCCCTTTAATTACTCTACCCCCTCCTCTCCACTCCCTTTATTCCCTTTAATTATTCTACCCCCTCCTCTCCCCTCCCATAGAAGACATGAGTATCATGTGTACCTTTCTTCATCGTCAACCCCTCCTGCCTCCTTAAGGGGAATCTTCCCAGATAAATTGATTGTCATTCCTAATCTCTTTATCCCCCAATATCAGCCACCCTCTACTCCCTGAGGGTGTGATTTTCATTCCTTTCTGCCCCCTCCCTTCCCCAGGGAATATGATTACCACACACCTCTAATCTACCACATCTCTGCCACTTTAATAATTCAGTACAACCAATCGCCTAATTGGCAGTTAAAATTTTGGCTGATGAAGATCTGGTTGCTTCAGATAGTATTTTTAGTCTTGCTTCCTATCGAAGTATTCGGTTTGCCTTTTGAGTTTGTCTTTTTCTTACAAATATGAAACTTTGTGATAGAGAAATAATAACTGATTTTCACCGAATCTTATTGGAATGGTATACATGTATCAAGATATAATCTCAAGATTTTGAATTAAACATCAATTATAGTTACACAACTTCCTAACACTTAAACAGTACATTTATAACTTTATAAAATATGAAATGGTGCTTTGAAAATTATATTCAAATTTTGTTGAAGGAATTCAGCTGAAGAAAAATCCAAATAATTATTTGTGAGAAAGAATTGCTAATGTTGTAGAACGGTGTTGTCAAGCAGGGCAGATTTACTTTGGTAATGACTGGAACCATACCAGTGATAACTGAAATTAACCAAATATAGGATTTATTGCCATATTGTGACTTGAGTTTTAGTGTCAATAAACACGTTTTTGTGGTTTAACTGGCGATGAATGCTTGACTGAAGAAATAATTGACAAGAGAAAGTTAACAAAATAACCGAAGGGGAGTTTTAGGAAACATTCTAAAGATGTTTAAAATGCAATATGTACCAAACTAATAAACAAACTACAAAGGTTGGGATGTTTTCATCCTGTATAAGGCCACAGGTAAGAAGAATACAGGTATTACCTTACTTGTCCTACAGTCATCTACCAGGTGAGAAAGACTATTAGATTTATACATTATTATAGGAAATAAATAAGACGTTCTGACATTTGTGGATATAAAAACAAATATGGGCTGTCACTAATTTATCATAATGTACCGTATTTCACCTTACTATGACCCAAACACTCACTGTCACAACCACAATTAGCATACACTATTCTACCTAATAAGCAACCAAACACTCACTGTCACACCCACAATTAGCATACACTATTCTACCTAACAAGCACCCAAACACTCACTATCACAATCGCAATTAGCATACACTATTCTACCTAATAAGCACCCAAACACTCACTATCACAATCACAATTAGCATACACTATTCTACCTAATAAGCACCCAAACACTCACTGTCACAACCACAATTAGAATACACTATTCTACCTAATAAGCACCCAAAAACTCACTGTCACAATCACAATGAACATACACTATTCTACCTAATAAACACCCAAAAACTCACTGTCACAATCACAATGAGCATACACTATTCTACCTAATAAGCACCCAAACACTCACTGTCACAATCACAATTAGCGTACACCATTCTACCTAATAAGCACCCAAACACTCACTGTCACAACCACAATTAGCATACACTATTCTACCTAATAAGCACCCAAAAACTCACTGTCACAATCACAATTAGCATACACTATTCTACCTAATAAGCAACCAAACATATACTGACACAGTTGCAACTTGCTTACCATATTTAACTAAATTAGCATCCCTGTTGCAAAAAGTGACCCTTTTTGTTTTTGAAACAAATTTTTTCAACAACAAAATACCAGTCCAGGATAGGGGAGAAAGAAAGTGAACTGTACACATTATAATTTATTCAAATGCTTCACTACACAAACCGTGAATCTGAGGCAGGTGTGACTTGAGAACATAAAGCACGGCAACATTGGGTTATTGAATTCTTTGACTGTTTAAAACACAATCATTTAAAAAAGAACCATTTGTTTATTGCTTGCACCTGTTATTTGCATTTTTGAAGCATCCTTTGTGGTTTATTTCGTTTTAGAAATCTTAATGTGATTTAAAATCTTCAGGTAGCCTTTTTTCACTGAAAGAATATGCTAATGTCAAGAATTTTCAAAATAACTCCGGGTTTTTTTGAGATTAAACAAAACAGATGTTATTGAAAATTCCCTGTTGGATACCTCACAGTAATTTGTTATTTTTATAGATTAGGCATCATCCTTTTGAAAATTGATGACAGTTTGGTGTAAAATGTGTATGCTGGAGCTCCCCCTGTTGTGGGCCCCATGCCGGTCTGAGATAAACCAAGGGAAGTATCTTATTACCTCTGTTGGTACAGAGAGGATCTTTGTCCCCACTCAGACCCTCCTCCTCCTCACATTGGCTGAACTGTCAGTACAGCAGCACTGCAGATAGTCAAGCTCCTCATTTGTTACAGTCAATTTAAAATCAATTTCATTCAAAAAGTCAGGTGAATTTTTTTTTCTGTGTTTACAGGAGATGTGTGATTGATGTTCCAGCGAAGCCTTGGAAACAACTGAATGAGCTAGTGGATTACTTTAGTGCAGTTTACAACAACAAAATATTTCGGCTTGTGAGATTTTCTGTGGATTAATCAGTGCTGGATTTTTCTGTTCTGTACTGCCTGGAAGTGGAGATATAGCCAGGGATAACTGGTTACTATTGAAGTGTATGTAGTAAGGCAATATTAGGAACAGTTCTGCTGTTTGAACTACACAGATCACAGAAGATTGTGGAGGTGAACTCCGAGGTGAGTGGTGTAATACACTGACAGCATCTGTAGCACTATATCTGATGGGATACCACCAGACAGAGCAGCCCTTCAGTATATGTTACATGTCTTAGGTAGGATATACAACAGTACTGAAATAAACCAAGATAGGATCAGGACTACAGACTTACATAAGCTAGCTTATTTCGTCAAAATGTTCGTCTCCCCATGTGCAAAACTGTGAACAACTTGGTACTTAAATGTTTGCTGGAAAGTCCCAGGTTCTTCATGTTAGATTATTACTATTTTTTAGTGTGTATGTTATTGGATCCATATGTATGATAGAAATACCTGATCATTTACTTTAAACCCATGTTCCATCTCCCCAATGTTACAAAACTGTAAAACCGTTTGGGCCTTCAATATGTCCTGGAAAATCCATAGTGCTTCACGTTGGATTAATACTACCCATTCTAGTGTGTATGATGGGATCTGTATTTGTAATATCTGGTGTACTTTACTTGAACCTATGTTTCATCTGGGGCCATGTTGAATAAACAATTTGATTTTGTAGCTGGGAGAAGTAACTATGCTGTTAGATTAAGCTGGTCTTGAAATAGAACTTGTCTAAAAAAAGTCAGCATATTATTGTAAAACCTACATTGAGATGTTTCCAATAACAGTATTTACAAACGCAAAAATATATAGGATTTTCTGACAAAACATATGCATAACTTTCTTCAGAAAATATTTTCACGACTTAAGGTAGTAGGGGTGGAGTGGTAATCTGAGAAACAGAAAAAGGAAAAAGAAAGGAAAAAGCAAGGCACCAAAAATATCTATTGATATATGAAAAGGTCTTGACCTTGTTACATAAACCCCCTTATCCAAACCCCAACACCATGTTATATAAACCCCACCCTGTGACATTAACCCCCACCCCACTGTGTCACATGTTATTGTCACATAACTCGACACATACACACCCACACCCCAGCTATCTGCCCAAGTATTTAGGGATTGAGTCCATGGAGTCCAAGTCTGTCTGTATTGTACAAACGATAAGAGATTTTGTTAAAACATTCAAGCTGAGGTTATAATTAGCATACAGCTGTCAGTACATGTATGCATGTAAGTTGCATCTATTCATTTCTGTAAAAGACACTTTTTTCACAACAAATGGTTGATAAAGTTAACAGTCAGCGTATAATATAGCCCAGCCTCATCAGATCCTATGATTTGTCTGTGTGGGCACTAGCTACGTACGCCTTGCCTTCATTGTGTGGGACTTGTACCCTGTGGCAACTCCTCAAGTAGTGCTGTAATGTAGAAAACAGGATGAGAAGCTGCGGTGTAGATGATATTAAAAATAAGTAGTTCTACACTCATCTCTGGCCCATTAAACATGGCAGGGGATTTAGCACTGTATATATCTGTAGTGAGATCTCAAAACAGAAATCATTAGAAAAAAGTTCTCACTCTTCTTAACATGTTATAAACATCTAAAAAATATTTCCCATGCTTCCTTTTAGCTCAAGGGTCAAATGTCATATTACATGACATGGTGAAGAGCTTCTGTCCATCATATGTTTACTTCTCTGCATATGTACCTGTGGGCTTGGCAGGCTAGAGCAGCTGTCAGAGAAAGGATTGAAAAATATATTGATGATATGGGCAAGTTACTGAAACATCATTCATGTCACTATAGGTCATGTGAAATAAAGAAAAAGTGGGAACTATGTCTGTCAGTGTCACAGTGAAAAAGTGGGAACTTGATAAATGTTGTAAAGAAAACTTGTGAACAAACTTAATATTTTAAAGTGCATGGGAACTGCATTTTGTACCTTGTCAATATTATGGAGAAATTGTAGCTAAATAAATAGTAAATAAGATTGATAAGATTAAGAACAGAACTAGCTTTGTATGAAAATGCCAATCTATAGTTCCTGTTTTTGTAGCTATATATTAATTTGTAGAAGATTTCATCGGCTTTTCTTTAAAAAAAAATGCAAACCCACTCTTTATTTAAACACCCAGGATTGACCATCATCAGTGATAGATGCTAAATACAAATGTTGATTGAATTGTGTCTGTATGGTCTACATTACTGCACATACACCTAGAAAACAAACGTGCCAAGATTTGTATCAGGAGGTGGGTCAGAGTTATAGAAACAGACAGGAATTGGTGTAAGTTTTTGGCCCAGGAACTGTTTGTGTTGGTTTGTATGGGCTGATAAAACATGTTACAAACTAGTACTGTTTAATCCAGGATGTGTTGGTGGAAACAAGGTAGGCAGCCAACTGATAGAGCCAGGGATAAGGGCTGGATGTCAGTACGGGATTAGGTCTCTGTTACATCAACAACAGTACCATCACTTAGACACTCCCTCCTGTGGCTGTTCCATTACTCATACACTTCCTCCTGTGGCTATTCTGTCACTCATCCACTCCTTTCTGTGGCTGTTATATCACTCATACACACTCACTCCTATGGCTGTTCAATCAAAATTTACACTCCATCCTGTGGCTGTTTCATCACACATACACACCCTCTTGTTCACTCACACACACTCTTTCCTTTCCTCTGGCTCAGTGGCTGTTCCATCAAAATTTACGCTACTTCCTGAGTGGCTGTTTCATCACACAGTCACTCTCTCTTATGGCTGTTCTATCACTCATGCACACTCTTTCCTTTCCTGTGACCATTCTATCACTCACACTCCCTCCCTCCTGTAGCTGTTCAACACTCATGCACACCCTCATGGGGCTGTTCCAATCACATGTACACCCCATCCTATGACTGTTCCATCATTCTGAACTTCCTCTAGAAGCTGATCCATCTTCCAAACACACACATTAGTTTGACTGTTCTGTCACCATTACACTACATCCTGTGGCTGTTCAACCACCAAGACCCACCTTCCTGTGGCTGTTACATCACACAAACAACTTCTGTCACTCAGGCGCAAGGTCAAGTATTGGATGTTCTACCACCCTGTAACATACACATTTGATAAACCAGAGGCATTATAGGGAATAACGTTAACCCTATAAATTGGCAATTAATGGCTCCATGACCAAGAAATACTTTTAACAATAAAATGGCATGTGATCTTGGAGCAAATGGAGATCATGTCTGCATTAGGAGAACACATTTTACATGCATAAAGGAGGTGTCAGAAAGAATACATTTCTATCTTTTCAATGGTACCAAACATTTTTTGTAAATATTTCAGAAATGTGATGTTGGAGGGGAGCAAGTTTGATGTAACATTGACAATAACAAATTCTTGGGACCCTTTGCAAAGGGATTGATAGGAGAGAGTGGAGGGAATAAGAACCTCTTTAGAATTAACAATCTGATGGCCAAAGGTCTAAGACCTGAACATTGACAACAGTTTGTAGTTTTACTATAGTCAATCTTCACCGAACAGTATCAGTTCAGCGCATTAGTTGTTAGAATACCAAGACTTCCTAAAGAATGGAAGGTGTGACATACATCACACAGGTGTTAATTCTACCTGTATGAATGAACAAGTGGACCAATGTTTTGTGTATCTGGCAGATTGTTTTACTGTGGCTTTATGGAGATGGCCTGAGGATATGTGAAGTGTGTTTTATACCTGTAGTATATAGGTGTATGGTCTATATATAAATAACAAGTGTTTAGATCAGCCTATTTAGTGCTGTTCATTCTACCTTTCCCCTAATCCTCTGACCTTGTAATCCTCCGACCTTCTCACTGAGATCATTTGTGTGGTTCCTTACTGCTTGTCTCCTAATATTAACTCATTCACCCCTAAATTCACATTTGAACCTTATCTTATCATAGACTGGGCAAGTCCAGTTTAAATATGAAGGGGTGAATGAGTTTTACACATAGATATATAATGTGTGCTATGAATTAAATTTCATGCAGTGGAGACAAAAGTTAATTGTATCCAGTTTGTATTGTAGTGCAGCACTGGACTTGGTCAGTCACTCACGACCAGGGAACACAGCTGGTTAGAATGTCTGTGTAAAAGGGTCACGGGTTTGAATCCTGGTCAGACCGAAGCATTTCTCTTTTTAGGTCACCTGAGCTTTAGCTCAAGTGACCTATTGCTATCCGTTTTCGTCCGTCGTCGTCCGTCGTCCGTCTTCCGTCGTCCGTTAACATTTTACATTTCAAACTTAAAGTCAAGTTCTGCTGGGCCGATTGAACTGAAAGTTGGTAGGAATGATCGCCTCATGGTCCTGACAAAGTGTTGTTATTTTTCGGGTCGATCAGAAATCCAATATGGCCGCCACGGCCGCCATTTTGAAAACCTATTTCAAACTTAAAGTCAAGTTCTGCTGGACCGATTGAACTGAAAGTTGGTAGGAATGATCGCCTCATGGTCCTGACAAAGTGTTGTTATTTTTCGGGTCGATCAGAAATCCAATATGGCCGCCACGGCCGCCATTTTGAAAACCTATTTCAAACTTAAAGTCAAGTTCTGCTGGACCGATTGAACTGAAAGTTGGTAGGAATGATCGCCTCATGGTCCTGACAAAGTGTTGTTATTTTTCGGGTCGATCAGAAATCCAATATGGCCGCCAC